CGGTCGAGCATCTCTGCGAGTTCCCAGCCAATCTAGCGCGAACGGAACTAGTCGTTCGGCCATGTGTGGCGCTGCTGCATTCATTTGATGAGCGGACTGGCGAGAATGCCGATCCTGAGGTCTCGCTAATCCCGAGGCTGGATGCGCGCGAAGTCGCGGCGGTGTTTACGGCGCCGTTTCGCAATTTCCTGCGCTGTAGGGATATGGAGGATTGGGGTGATGGGGATCCGACGGAGTGGTATAAGGGGGCTTGGACGGAGTGGTATCATGAGAATTGGAGGAGTGAGTATTATATCTTCTTTTGTTTGTCTGTTTGCTTGCGTGCTTTCCTGTTTGTTGGGTCGTGTTGTGGTGGCTGACTAGGAGCAGTGCATCAATTCTTCGTCCCTGTTCGGCCTAAAGAAGTGGTTAAGCCGAAGACAAGAACGGAGGAACAGAAAGAAGCGGTTAGTCAGTTGGAGGAGCAGGAGAAGGCCTCGCAGGTTACTCGGTACCGGGTGTTTGGGATGACGGCGCGGATGTTGGTTGATGTGGCGCGGGTTGCGTATGCCGAAGAGCCGGAATTTGAGCACAATAGTCACTTTGGGGATGAGGCGATCATTGAGAAGTTAAGGAAGATGGGCCGGTTAAGTCCGATTCGGAGGACAGGCGATCAGTTGACTAGGCGGGATATGGAGATGGCGGCTAAACTTAGTTGATACTTACAGTACTTACTGCTGTGTTGATAGCCTTCTGTTAGACCATTCAGATGTTATACTTGAGCGAGCCCTATGAATCAAATCAAAGACAAAGAGAATAGATGCCTCTTACAACACCTATGGAACAATACCACCCGAGTCCAGCATCACTAGCTCAACCATAGCCATAACAACATTAGCACACAGACACAGTCCCTGAAATACTGACACTCACCTCAGACATCCAAACAACCCATCGATCCATCACTCCCATCCCCTTATCTCACTCCCCACCTGCAAATACTCGTCCAACCAGCACTAAACAATGCATAGGTATTTGAATTTGCAACTGCCGTGATGACATCCCACGCACACACACGTATGCATATCATGCATTTCGCATCCAATTTCCTATCGGTTAAAACCGTTCTGCAGTTAGTTGTTAATTTCCCCCATGTTCTGATTGATACTAACATTTCGTATTTTATTTGTTGGTTACACAAACGATGAATACGGACACGGAGGGATTTGTCATTGTGGGTATGGCGTGTGCAGGGTGATGGTGGTGGTGATGAGTGGTGAGTGGTGAGTGGCTGCCAGAGGGGTTGGTGGGTTTTGATTTGGGCTACTTAGTGGTATTTGGTGGGTGTATGTGTGATTACTTATGGGAGGGACTAGTTAGGGAGTAAGTACTTATTCGCTCAGTTGAGGGGGATTGATTGATAGAGATCGGGTCTGGTGTGATGATATGTTTGATAAGGGCATGGTTTGATGTGAGTAGTGGTATATTTGGTTGGGGGTGAATGTGTGGGTGTAGGTAGATTTATTGAGAGGAGGTAGGTGTATTGTTAAGTGGTGGTTCATTGTGATTTGGTTAGTAGACGTCGTGTTCTGCTCATGGTTCGTGGTTATTGTACTAAGTGGGATACGATGGCATTGGGACACCCGAGAAGCGGACATGTAAGTGGTGGCTTTTCCAACAAGATACAAAATTGATGGAATGTGAAGTAGTAAATGCCAGCACTCAGAGCGGGTGAAGTTTGATGTTTGCTGGGGCTATCGCTGCACGTGGTCAGGTCTGTTCACTCATGGGACCAGCTCGATTGGCTTTGATACTGCAGCTCGCATTCTTCGTCCAAGCATAATGACCGTCAACACGGGTCTGGCTGTGGCTCAAGCAGTGCCAGGCGGCGATTAACGTGTACTAAAATGCTGGATTACCACAGCCAATGCCAGATTATTCTCACAAGCAGCCGCTTGGTATTACAGGGAGGGTGTTATCTCAGCCTGATTTCAATCGTGACCGACCCCAAAGTAATACAGCAACTATCTATATTTGCAATACTGGCTCAACCTCATTGGACTCTCGGCCCGTGTGGCATGCCCGTGTTGGCCATGATGAAATGTCACTCTGAACTCACTTTGATTTCCGATACTCACTTGCCACCAGCCACTCGAGTCTTCGGAAAGTCTACTAGCGGGGAATGTCTCTGGAGGGAGTATTAGGGTTAGGAATGCCATGCTTGCCAAACCTTGTCTGCTCGCCTAACGCGGATGAGAGTAAGACATCCCGTACAACGATGCTAGCGTCATTAATCTCACATTGTTAGTGGTGGAGATTGACACTTGAGTTAGCTTTGCCAACGGTGCTAGTCTCAGGAAATCAAATCTAGACTTCCGTATTCCCGAGAACGGGCAATTTGCGAAACTTGCGACATCGCAGGTTGAATGAGGAGGCCGTCAGCTAACTACTGACACTGATTGGCTTGCATTGCCTGCAGCAACATGGCTTGGCTGCCATGGGACCAGCCTCAATCCGACAGTGATCTGAAACGGGTCGGGTATGCCCGTGAGTGGAATGCTGGGCCGCTATCTTGAATGCTGGCGGTGGGTAGCCTGGCCGTAGAGGCCCCACTCCGGCTCTAAGCTTGATTGATTCCAGAAGACTTGCATCTTAGTGCATCCTCTCTTGCCTCATCATGAGCTCATGCTTACTGCTGGAGTGGATCGATCGAATGAGTTGTCGTCTCAGTGGAGCTGATGAGATAGCAGATTCAGCGCGTACCGCGACAGCCAGCCTCTAGCCACCCCCACCGTCTATTCTGCTCAGCTCCCATCAGGCTCAGCTGCACCACGATTCGATGATGTCCGAACTATACCCGCCCGGGTCCGTTGCTTCATTCAGCTGCCCAATCTCACTGTCGCGACGGACGAATGTGGAGCTGCTGTTTTGGCATTCTCTGAGCTATCCCCGGTCGAATGGGGGGCCATCAGGATTGTTGCCTGGACTCCGATGGGGCTATCTGGCGTGACCACGCAGCAGTATCCCGAGCGGAGGGAACGAACAGTGGAGGATGGGAGGAACGAGGCGTATGGCGGCGTGGACTGTGAGACGCTGGGGATGACCTATCCAAAGAATGCTGAGAGCGAGACCGGCCTGGAGCACGTGTCCTGACTGGATGGACCTGTCATAGAGAAATGAGTTCTAATTTACCTCATCGGCAGTGATTTCCCTGCTGGAAAGTAGGGTGGCTGAGGCTAGGGGAATGTTCTAGGAGAACCGAGGCGTCATTCGTCGGTTGCTTGCCGTCAATCTGCCCAGATGAGAGAAGGTAGATACCGACACTGGTCATTCTGGCCTGTGGTGAAGCCAGAAGAATGTCATGCTGGATAAACTATCTGTGTTACCTGTCATATAGGAGAGTATATGTACCTTTCAAACTAAGGGGAAGATAAAGAAAAGAAAGGAAAGAAGCAGGGATAAGCAACGAAGAAGAGAAGCAGCTAGGGGAGTAAGTCAACGCGACTAAGGAAACTAGGCCACGCTAAGCGTGCAGAGAAGAGGGACAGAAGCAAGAGGGAAGAGGGTCTGTCAAAGGCGATCTCCATACCGCAATATGATCTATCTGGTTTGATTCCCTACAGTGCGTATGTGTGTCACTTTTCTATGAAGACTTTTCTTTTTGTTTTCTCCGTCGACAAAAGACTAGGGGACATGCTGAATAGTTAAGCCACCATTGCGAAATTAAGTTCAATCGAGTGCAGGGATGAGATAGAAGAGTAAGCAGCGTGAAATGCCCAAAGTTAGTTAGGTAGGTAGATAGCAGAAAATGAGAAAGTAAAAAGAAAAAAGAGTAAGAAAGAGTGTGCAAGCTGAAAGGCTGAAGGATGAAGGTTGAAGGCTGTGGAGGAGGGCAACCAGGGATAAGCGGCGTCCAGGTTTCTTTGTTTGACTGGCAACGACCGACGCGACTAGTTGGTTTAGTAGAGTCGATTAGTGTTGATCCAACTAAGAATCACTAAGAATAAACCCGCGCCATGCCATGAACCATTCAGATCCCACTTGTGACGGAGGGAAAGGATCGACTTCCGGGGTTCAGCAATCAGCAATCCAGCAATCAGCAAGCAAGTAAGCTGGGATCACTCGGTGACTTCAGAGTTGTTGGTTATTGCGCTTCGTATTCTTCCCCGGCCCTAACCCGATCTTTCCCCCATCCATCAATTGTCTGGACCTTCCCATGTCTATCTTTCTCTCAGCCTCTGTGTCAATGTGTTGTTCCTAACTTCCAAATCATTCAATCAATAATCATTCTATCTAGAGCCAGAACCACAATCCCGGTAATTGTAGACGAAAATTGAACGGAAATCACCCTAATGGCGCGCCCCTCAGCAAGCCCACCCACACACCATCCACACACACCATCCACACCCCCCGGTCCATCCCTTGCATGAGGGTGTCACTCTCATGAGGCTATTCCCGCCCATGATGATGACCACGACGATCCCATCCTGCAGTTCGGCCAGGAACTGCCCTTGAGATATGTCGCTTTTATTTTTTGCTTTTTGAGTATTTATTTTATTTTTTCCCATTAAAATTTCCCAAAATTCTACATGGACTCCGCCCCGAACTCCTTGGGATCTAGGGATGAACGGCCGGACCAGCCAGACGGAGCTTGACGAGCTGCATATGGCGACCCTCCCTGATGGATCCCATCACATCCATCCGCTGCTGAGTTTCTTGTCGTCGGCCTCGTTCTCCTCTTCTTCCTTCTTCCTCTAATGATTATTATTTTGATTATTATTATTAAACCTATCTCCCTTTAAACTCCATCATATCGTCTCCCTTTCCTCTCCCTCTTCTTCTCCCTTCCTCCCTTCTTCGTTCATCCTCATTCCTTTCTTTTTTTTTCTTTCCCCTCGTTCTCTTCTGGTTGAACCATGGTCCCGGCGGGTTCTTTATCTCTACACTGCCGGATAAAGACACTGGCCACAGGCTGACTGACTTGCACGGGTGACGGTCGTGTGATTGTTTGCTTGCCCTGCCTGCTGGCCTGTCATCCTGGACGCCAAAAAAAGGTTAAAATCGCATCAAGACCGGCGACTGGCGAGCAAAGTCAAAAAAGCAACGACGCTGGCCGTATTCGGGTCACAATTTTGGTACTTCGCCAACGGAGAACATCCCAATCGGGCCCATTTCCCTCCCGGCTGCTGCCTCTTGCTGGTTATCTTTCTCTTCTCCGGCTTCTTTCTCTTCACTCCTTCTGCTTCTTGGTTCTGCTTGTCTTTCCCTTGCCACGTTTTTCTCTGTTCTTTCCCCCCCATCCTTCAGGAGGGGGAAAGGTCTTTTGAGACATCCCTTCCCCTCCCTTCGTGCCAACTCTATAAACTATCTCCTGGCACGGCCAACGATATACTTCCCAGTTCCTGGCCCGAGCCACGGGAATATTACTCCCCACTCCCAACCTCCCCTCCCCTCTCCATCTAGCACAACAGCATCATGCTTTCTCCGTCCTCGTTGGCACTTCCTAGACAGGCCCCTCCAGTGAGGCCCTCTCGGTCCTTGGAGGGACTAGAGCAAGTCGTCCCTCCCCGAGTGCCAGTGCCCCCTGCTCGCCCGGCACTGCGACATATTGATAAGCCGCTCCCGGAGCTGCCTCCCAAGCCACTGCCTGAGACCCCGTCGATGGATGAGGGCTCCACTGCATGGAGTGATGACAGTAGTACCATCTCCAGCTTCTACGATGACAGCCGACGCTTTTCGGCGGATTCGTCCGAGAGTTACCCTGTTTTTGTCCGCTCTGGTTCGGACGATCTGTCCGAGCTTGTCGATCATCCACCCACTACCGGGCCCATCGACCCGTACCAGCATGACGACCATCACCATCACCACAATGACCATCCAAAGTCCGCACCTTTCGCCATCACCACTACTTTCCTCCACGATGACCACTCCGACCGAGCCCAACCCTGGGTCGCTAACCGGGCTGGCCCCAACCATTACTTCCGGGAGAAGAAATGGGACTTTTTCCCTGAGCTGGCTACTCCGTCGGCTCTCCCTACATCCCCGCGTTTTCCCACTCACCCCCGCAAAAAGAACGGCAGTAAACTGAACCTCACCGTGTTCGACTTCGCCAAAGGCCGCAACCGTTGGAACTCATCCGATCGAAGTGGACGCGCCCTCGCTCAGGACGTGCGCAATTCCATTCGCTCCTATGTGCAACGGCGCTTGTCGAAAAATTCCCTAGAACGAAACAAGAGTAATCGGTCGTCATTCCCGACAGCAGATTCAGTGGATCCTGTGCGCACCCCCACGCCATCGAGCAAGATCACCACCACCACCACCGACGAATATTATCATCCTGGAAGTCCAAGGTCTCCTCTGAGCCCAGTGGATGTCTCACCCTCGAATAAACGCCTATCGCGCATGTCCACTCGCTCAACCATGGGTGCGCGCGGCCCGCACCCGCGGCCTATGGCGTCCCCACGGAAGAAGCAGCTGGCAGTGCCGATGTCGCCGTATCAGAAGTACGGTGCTGCGATCTGGGAGAAGCCAGGTCGCGAGAAGCGAATCAGTTACCGACAGAGCCCTAACGTTCGGTTTCCTCGCTATCGGAAACGACGCTCGTCAAAGAAGGGCTTTGTGTCCTCCGCAACGCCACCCCTGACGCCACCCGCCCGGTCTCAACTCCAGCAGAACACCCGGGACTGCGTCCGAGCCATTCAAGACGGCACCCATCATATCCTCGACGCCCTTGACGGCGCGCGGAAGAAGATGATCGGAGTGCGAGGCGATCGACGGCACACAGAGCTGAAATCACAGATCCGACTAGTCGGACCAGTCAGTCCATACAATAACAATTATGGACAGACCGATCCATGGATTTAGAACGAAGAGCTCACTATCTCTCCTCTCAGACTTTCCTTTCTCGTTCCGTCTTCTTTCCTTTCTATGTTCATGATATCCCATTCGCTTCATTGTCCATGTTATCCAATTAGCCTGTCCTTATTTCCGGTCACTCTCTACCTCTACAACTCTCGTCTTGTCCTGCAACTCTAGTCATTACCGTGATATCCCGTTGGCATTTTCAGGGTCTCTGCTTGGCGTTGGGGATGCACCTATAGATGCTTTATCTATAGCCACTTCACTTTTTAGTATATTATATTGAGGATACTAGCTTATAATGACCCAATATCGAATCTTATCATCTACAACCCAAAACAGTCAGACTAATCGTCCAATAATCGTAGTAATTGAATACACCGCACCCCACCCAAAAGCATGTAACCCATACTGTAAGATGATAATGCAACACGTGCCACCATCCCTTACAGATCTATCCCCAATACTTGCATATGCAGCACCAGCACATGATCTGACTAGGAAATTCTCCTGGATCAAATGTCTCTCTTTCCTTTCCTTTCCTTTCCCTAACCCTTGCCCTGTCTTTCACCCCCTAGGCACAAATTAAACACACAGTATCCATCTCCGTTGACAACCATAGACAGTCCCAATCTACAAGTGAAACATCATAATTCTGATTTCGAATCAAATCCCTCCAATCCTTTATCCCTATCTATACAATCTGAATCAGGTCATCGTGACTGTAGCTGTACGTATCTGTAGTCTTAGGCATGCAAATAAATTTACGATATCTGTGCATACTGTGTAAACCCTTGCTTCGACTACTACCCCTTTAAGCTAGCTACAATATCAGCTGATTAGCTGATTAGCTGCTTAGTAGATACTATATTATCTTTCTTCTATAGTAGGAGGTATTATAGAATGTAGTGATCTAGGGATGGGGTGGATGGATAATGCTGTGCGACTTTTGGCTTAGTACTGGATTTGTGGTGTTGTGTTACTTTTGGTTTTGTTTCTCAATGATCTGGTACTAGTAAGTAGTATTCCATGTCGTAGGTGTGGGGATGGGGTCGGGATTTGGATGTTGTGTATTTAGTACAGATTAGGGAGTAGGAAAGAAGATGAATGAATGGGTGGGATGGGTTTCTTGTTGTGTTGTCTGTACTGTTTATTGGGCTTGTGTTCGATGATGTGGGTTGCTGGATTGCATACTATATTTATTCTCTGTTGGACAGCGCAGTACTGTATTATGCAAAAGTAGTAAGGTTACTGTGTTTATCAAGCGGTGCAATAGGAACGAATAGTAGGTCATTGATATTCCCTAAATGCAACCCTATATATTTCATAGAGTTAGGTCATGATAAATAAAAAGGCTAAACTAAGATAAGGTATTCTATTTTAACCTGCGCCCAACCATCGCCTGTCCAAGCAAACCGACCAACCAACCCACAAGGAACCGAAATTATTGAAAAGACCCAACCCGAGAAGAACTGAAAAGGAAACTTTCACAACTGCGCAACATTTTCCAGGATCTGCACCTCTTGGCCCGGCTTGAACGCCGGCAGTCCGATGAACGGACAGCCCGCGCACCGGAAGGCATCGCCCAGGGCACAGTTTCCACATGAGCCTGTCTTACCCTGCACGGTAAAGTCCAGCTCGTTCAGGTCCTCCGTCTCCAGCTTCATCACGTTCAGAGCCTTGTCTGCCTTCTCCCGCTCCGCTTGTTCCTCTGCCTCGAGTCGTGCTGCGAGTCCGCACGTGCAGTCCTTGCAGGCGCGACGCCGGCGGCCGGGCTTGGGCTGGCATTCGGGGGCTGTGATGCATGCATTGTTAGCATGGTTCAAATGCCACAAGACTTATTGAAAAATGAATGGGACTTACGCTGGATAGGTCTCTTTAAATCCTCATCCGACAGCAGGGTATCCTCGTCAATCAGATCATCGTCGTTCTCGTAATCGTCGTCATTATTAATCATGCCCACGGTGACAGGCTGCACGGGCGGGGCAGGCGCAGGTGCGGGAGCAACTGTCTCTGTCTTCGCCGCATCCTTTTTCTTCCCATTGCGTCGCAGAGGAATCGCGAACGACTTGGGTTGGTCCATCTTCTCAAATCCGGCATCGGTCTTGATCAGCCCCGCCAAGACCGCCTCGCGCTCCTCGGCCTCTCCGAAAAAGTTATCCTGGGTCTGTAGCTTCGCTCCGGCCTTCATGCAGGGAACCAACGCGGTGTAGACATCCCGCGTGAGCAGGTGGAGAGCCTCCGACCGCCGCGTGCCATCGGTATCGGTTAGGACGACAATGTGATCGTAGGTGTTGGCGGGGAGGGAGACGAAGCCGGCAGATATGCGGTCAAGCATCTGCAGGTCGGTTGTGGAGCGGTCAAAGGTGGTGAAGAGGTCCCGGAGCTTCTCTTCTTGAGTGGCGATGGAGGGGGGAGCGAGGAGGAGAGTGCGCTTGGAGGGGCTGCCGGTCGACATGGGCTGGAAGGAGGGGGCGGGTGCCATGTCGAAATCAGGCGTTGTGTCGATGGTCACGAACGAGGGAGCCATTGTGTCGGTCTACCTGCGAGTTCGTCCGTGAAGGGAGAAGGGAGAGGAGATAGTTGGGGTATAAATGGAAGGGAGTGGAAATTGAGGTTCAAAAGTGATCAGTGGCCGTGATCGGATGCTCGTTTTGGGTTTCGTCTGGCTGACTCAATTGTCATCTGACGGCGTTGTGATTGGGTGGCGGGGAAAGTGGCAGAGATTGTGTTTGACGGTTATCAGCGAATTTTCGGGGTTATCTGATGATGGGGGATTACAAATCGAGGCACACGCCTGCAACCCCCGAGGAAATAGCCAGGTGATAGTCCGATGGCGGTGGTGGGATTTGTTTCCTCCTTTAGGAAAGTCGATGTCAGTGGGTTTTAATTTCTGGGAGGTTCTCTTTGACTCCGAGTGATTTTTAGCAGATTTTCTCCCCTCCAATGCCCCGCACCCATATTACTTTGGCCGGGTTGTTATTGCCCTGCTCGCTGTCCGTGGGAAATTGTCACGGGAATTCTTTGGCCTTACTGGGTTTAGCGCTTCTGGGCTGCTGCCCAAGCTGGCTGACTAATGGAGATCACTCAGAACCCCGCTTGCTCATGATGTCACTCGGAGAGTGTCTGCCATCGGTAAGACAATATTTTCATTAGTCAATTATCGATGTGCGCGGTGAAATGGTTTTATACATGACAAAAAAGCCCATTATTGGCAAGTGAGACAGCTGTCTGCCAAAGAGCCGCTGTTTTTCTGCGTGGGGTGCAGTTTAACCTTAAATTGTTTCCAGAAATGGGAACCGGGAGGGCCATGTACTATACGGTCATGTGATACGGCTGATAGTTAATGGTCTCTACGACCATAGCGTTGGAAGATTCAATTGCAACAAGATTATTTTGGGGGAACAAGTCTTTGATGACCTTATTGACGAGAGATACAGAATTTTTGATGCAGCTTAACACAAGCTAATACGTCAACGGCTCTAAGCTGACTGAAGGGCAGAAAGAGTGGCCCTCACGCCAGCAAAGCCACCCTAACGACAGACAGCATTTCCAGAAAATATTTGCTTAAGAGGGCAATAAAAATCAGCTTTGTCTCATGAATGAGATGTACCAGAATTACTGCCACAAAGCTCAAGTCTGGCCTTTGCCTTTGACATCGCTGAAAGCACTCCACTAATCGTGCTACTTACTAGTATCCATACTGCCTGAGTTCCCGGTCGATAGTACTATGGTGTACTCTTATTGGAGCTAGATATATATGCCGATAAATCGTGATGAAATATCTGAATTCCAAGGGCTCATTGTGGATATTGGTCAGTTCAAGAGTGGCAGCTGTTCTGAACTTTGCTCAGCAACTCAGTCACACTACTATCGAGTTCAGCAGATATTGCACAGACTTATCGCCCAATAATATGTTCCTCGATTGTTTGATAGAGCGATGTGTGCAATGGCTGCAATATACTGATGCGGAAGGTAATTTTATCTCGGTGCTATAGTCCCGTCAGACCTCTACCTCGCGAGCGGCCACTGTCATCGAGTACGATGGCGATATGCCAACTAAAGACTGCCTATCGATGTTATCCATCAAAAAGTAATAGATCAGCTCGCTAGATCTGATCGGTTTCATAAGAGCATGTGACTTTGACGCCCGAACGTTGGCAGACAAGAGTCAACTCACCATGGCAGCATCATATCGATGCTAGTTGGCACCGACTCCATTAGCTCATAATGCGGTAATTAGAAGGACAGATAGACGGCGTATTGTTGTACAGCCTTCGTAAGCTCGGGGTAGTCGGCCGGGCACCTTTGAACTTCATGGATATCTGTGCTTGGTTTTAGTATACCAAGCTATTGTCATCCATCCAAAAACTCCGACTGGACTTCACAAAACAATTTGATGCTCTCACCAGAACACTATTATTTCAAAAGTTGAGGTTTAATGAAATAACTATTAACATCATTTCTCGACCGCCAAAGCTTCCGCATAAGGCAATGGGGAATGAATGGCTGACATAACAGCCACCCCGGATCAGCACAGGAATGCCTGCATCCAACGTCATGTCACCTGCCCTGTCGTGTTCCTGGCCGTTCCTGGCGACTCCTCACTTCCCCTCTTCTTTCCATTGAGCAGAATCCATCCTCTTTTAATCGTTCAATTCATTCGAAGCTATCAAATGCTTTAAACTATCAATCGTTGCATCCAAACCTTTTTATCCCATCACTCCACTGATCTAGACCCGCTACCATGGGTGGAGACGTTCCCCGGCAAGCTCCCAGCGCCCTTCCCCAGACTCCCGCGGGCCCAGTCGGTCAACGCATCAAGAGCATCTACACCGACCGTCTCAAGCAATTCACCGCCACCGGGCAGTACGAAGGCCAGAACCTCATCTCGTACGTACATTTTCACTGTGGCCTAGTTGCACACAATTCTCCATTCTTCCGATCGTTTATTTTACGTCCGAACTATACTAAAGGTCTACTAGCAAGCTGAACGAGGCCGTCAATTCCGACGAAGACCATGTCAAGCTTTCAGTATACTCCGTCCCTAACCTCCAGCGCCCAACTTTCAAAGAGGCCACCTCCAATGAGTTTAAACCTACCCACATCGGAGCATCGTTCGGGCCAAGCTGGTCCACTCATTGGTTCCGCATCCGCCTGACGGTCCCGGAGGATATGCGCAAAAAGGAACGTCTGGAGTTCCACTGGGATGCAAACAATGAGGGTCTAGTCTGGACGGAAGATGGTCGGCCACTTCAAGGTCTCACTGGTGGCAACGAGCGTATCGAGTGGATCATCCCTGATGCCTGGCGGGATGGGAAGGAACATACCTTCTATATCGAGATGGCCTGCAATGGCATGTTTGGAAATGCGCCTGGGGGAGATTCCATCCAGCCGCCCAACCCTAACAAATACTACACATTGCACAAAGCTCAGATCACGGCTGTCAACCTGGAGGCACGGGCATTGTTCTACGACTTCTGGATCATTGGAGGTATGTTCAGACTCAGATCTTTAGGCAGCTTACACCTCCGCCAGCTGCGAGACGATAGTATTTCCTGTACAGTGTCACTGACATGGTATACTAGACGCGGCCAGGGAATTCCCTGGTGATGGCTGGGAGTCGCATGAGGCCAATATGGTTGGCAATGCTATCATTGATGCGTTCATTGCTGGGGAAGGCAGCAATGAATCAATCAAGGAAGCACGCAAAATAGCCCAGAAGTACCTGGGTAGTAAAGTAGATTCTTCCCAAGTGTACGAGACCGACACGGAACCCATCGTCTACGCTATCGGACATTGCCATATCGATACTTGCTGGTTGTGGCCTTGGGCAGAGACTAAGCGTAAGGTTGCCCGGTCATGGTCAAACCAGTGTGATCTGATGGACCGATACCCGGAGCATCGCTTCGCTTGCTCCCAGGCACAACAGTTCAAGTGGTTGAAGCAATACTATCCATCGGTTTTTGAACGCGTCAAACAGTGGGTCAAGAAAGGTCACTTCCAACCCATCGGCGGCAGCTGGGTCGAGCATGACACCAATATGCCCAGCGGAGAATCGTTGGTGAGACAGTTTCTCTATGGCCAACGCTTCTTTGAGAGAAACTTCGGTGAACGCTGTACAACCTTCTGGCTTCCGGATACCTTTGGCTACTCTACGCAGATACCTCAGATCTGTCGTTTGGCAGGCATGAGTCGCTTTCTCACCCAAAAGCTCAGTTGGAATAATATCAATAACTTCCCGCACACCACATTCCTCTGGGTTGCACTCGATGGAAGCCAGGTTATGTGCCACATGCCACCAGCGGAGACATACACTGCGAGCGCCCACTTTGGTGACGTGAAGCGTAGCGTGACTCAACACAAGTCAATGGACAACGACAACACGTCACTCTTAGTATTCGGCAAGGGCGACGGTGGTGGCGGGCCAACCTTTGAACATCTGGAGAAGCTGCGCCGCTGCCGCGGTCTCAGTGACAAGGTTGGCTTGCTTCCTCGTGTCAAGATGGGAGATTCAGTCGATGATTTCTTCGCAAAGCTCGAGAAGAAGGTAGAACAAGGTACCCGCTTCGCTACGTGGTATGGTGAATTATATTTCGAACTACATCGGGGCACGTATACCACACAGGCCAACAACAAACGGGGAAACCGCAAGTCAGAGTTTTTGCTCAGGGAAATCGAGTACCTTGCTACTCTCGCTACTCTTGAGCAGTCTGCGGACAAGTATAAGTACCCCAAGGAGGAAATCGACGAAATGTGGGAAGATGTACTATTGTGCCAATTCCATGACTGCCTTCCCGGTAGCAGCATCGAGATGTGCTACGATGACTCCAGAGAGCTATACAAGAAGGTTTTCGAAATTGGCAACAAGGTTCGGAAGGAAGTCCTCCAAGCTCTTGGACTTGGAAGCAGCACCGCTAAGGGTCTCGTCGCAATCAACACATTGCCCTGGCCTCGCTCAGAAGTAGTCAAGGTCCCTGCTGATTTTACAACTGCGGGTGGCCCCAGGTACGCCATTGTTAGTGGTGAAAGTGGTCCTATTAAGTGCCGGCTTCCTACAGCTTCAAACAGAGCGCCTGCTGTGACTGTTTCCGAGATCGAGCCCGGTGTTTTCCGTCTACAGAATGAGAAACTGAGGGTAGATGTACACGACGGAGTCATCACATCGTTGTACGATCTGGAGGAAAAGCGCGAAGTCGTTGCCAAGGGCGGAAAAGCTAACCAGCTTGTCATTTTTGACGATAAACCACTCTACTGGCAAGCGTGGGACGTTGAGGTCTTCCACCTCGAATCGAGGAAAGAGTTGCAATCTGGGAAGACTACTGTCGCTGAAAACGATCCATATCGGGTCAGCGTGGTCACTGAGACCCGCATAAGCGACAAGAGCTGGGTCAAGACGACTATCAGCCTGGCTGCTGCCGTTGGAGACCAGCCATCCTATGTTGAGATGGAAAGTGAAGTTGAATGGCGGGAGACTATGAAGTTCCTCAAGGTCGAGTTCCCTGTCGACATCACGAACACACAAGCATCGTACGAGACTCAGTACGGAATCATCAATCGCCCGACTCATTACAACACCAGGTAATTCTACCCTTGTTCCCACATATGCAGTTGCTAATAGGTGTCAGCTGGGACATGGCCAAGTTTGAGGTGTGCTGCCACAAGTGGGCAGATCTGTCTGAGCACGGCTACGGTGTCTCGATCCTCAATGATTCCAAGTATGGGTTTGCAACTTGCGGTAACATGATGCGCCTCTCCCTGCTCCGTGCCCCGAAGGCACCGGATGCTCATGCAGATATGGGTCATCATCGCATCCGTTACGCGATTCTCCCGCACGCAGGTCCCCTGGACCATCGCACGATCCGCGCAGGGTACAGCTTTAACCACCCCCTTGCCCTGGAGCCTGCGTCTGGTCAGGAGGCAAGCGATAAGTTTAAGTCGATCTTGCTGGACGGCTCTCCCTCGCTTGTCCTGGATACAGTGAAGCGCGGTGAAGATGATGAAGATGTGTCTCGTGATGAGCTGCCACGGCGTGCCGGGAAGAGTGTCATCCTTCGGATCTACGAGTCCCTGGGTGGTAAAAGCCGTGGCACCATCAATACCAAGCTCCCCGTCAAAAAGGCATGGAAGTGCAATATCCTTGAGGATGACGAGACAAGCCTGGTCTTGTCCAAGAGTGATGCACAGACCACGAGCATTGATATCGAGCTGAGAGCCTTCGAGGTCGCGACATACAGGCTGCAGCTGTAGTCGGTCTCCGTGCAGTGAAAGGGAAATTGTCTGTAGCTCCTAACAACAAGTGACATATCTTTTGAGATGTATAGTCTAGCAGAGCAATGCCGATGCAATCTAGTAGTACAGAGGATATCACAGACAAATAGCGAAACCTAGGAAACACAGCGAACTCTTCAAACAAATATAATCAGTAGTTTTCCGCGCGCCACAGCTCCCTATCCAACCCAGCAAAGAACCTACCAACTCCAACCAACTCTCATGAAATCGAACGAAATAATAGACTGATATATCAATCCCTCCCATAAGTAATTTTCAACCTCTTCGTAGGCGGCCTATCCCCATCCGTCCCATCATCATCCCCCTTATCCTTATTACTCGCCGCAGACTTCTTCTTATTCTTCGACGCCTGTCCCCCCTTCACACTATTCGCCGCAGACGACGCATCCCCGTTCCCAGGCTTTCCAGTAGAACCGTTATACGTCGAGTTCGGAGTCGCGGCATGCGACGGCGTCGTTTGAGCCGATGAAGGCGCGGGTGAATCCTAAACACCAACACAGAGAACCCGTCAGCTTACGCACATCCACACATCCACACATCCACACAATCAAACACAAAGGGGACTGAGATAGAGAGAAAGGAAAGGAAGGTAAACATACCCGCATAAAACTCGCGGAACTTCTCGAAAACACACGATCCGCGTCCGACACCGTCGCCTTTCGTCTCGCAGCACCTCCACCACCACTCATACTCGATGAGAGGGCAATGCCTGCTCCGCCGATCCCGGCCCCACTGGACGAGCCCTTGATGTAGTTGTCGAAACCCTTGATGATGTTTCCGGCGGTGGTTTCTTCCAGGTAGGATTGTTCGAAGCGGTAGATTTGGTCTTCGAGTTGGGCCTGTCGTTTACTTGTTGGTTCGAGGCACAGGGAAGTTAAAGGGGGAACGGGGGTGTACGTACCATGCTCTTATCCATTAGACGCTTCTTCTGGAGTGTGTCGCGCAGTTCGCGGCGGAGTTTCTCGTAGTAGGGGAGGCCGCGGTTTGCGGTTGATGAGGCGGAGGAGTCGTTGGATTGGTTGGGGTTGGGGTTGGAGGTGGTGTTTGATGTTGTGTTGTTGTTGGAGTTGAAATTGGAGTTGGAGTTGGAATTGGCATTGTTGTTGTTGTTGTTGTTGTTGTTGTTTGGTGTGGAATTGGGTGCTGTGGAGTTGGGGTTTGTGGTGGAAGTTGGGCCTGTTGTGCTAGTAGGTGGTGCTGGTGTTGGGGCGCTTGATGCGGCCGGTGTTGCAGCGGCGGCGGCGGCGGGTTCGGCCATTGTGGTGAGGGGCGACGTGATTGTAGTCGTGGGAAAGCGTCAATTATAGGGAGATTGAGATGGGGGTTGCTTGGGTTAGATGCGAGCGCGCATTGAAACGAGTGCAGTGGTGGAGGTGGTGTCGCGATCTCTAGCATCTAAAAGCGGAAGAGAAGTGGAAGTGAATGAATGGATGGATTGGATGGATTGGATGATGATCGCCGCCGGATCTTATCGTTGCTGTTTGGCTGGTTTGCATCCGCGTCACATTATCGCTCCGTCAACTTACGTACACCTGGGAGCTGCATCTCCCCATCTGGGCTCCCTTGCTCTCATTCCCTCTCCGTCTTACCGGTGTGGCTTGCTGGCTTCTTTATCTGGAGAGAGGCTTGTGATATTTGCTACGCTGAAGCTCGCTGTATATATTGTACTTGACCTCATCATCGACGACTATTCTACTTGTTGAACTTGCTACGGCCCGACTTCGCGATGGATCACTCAATGCATGGCATGATGGACATGGACCATGGTCATGATCATGGAGATATGGATATGGGTGATGGACAGTGCAGTATGAATGTGAGTGTCTTGTTGTTAATCTATAGTGGTTCGAGTGCAAGCGGTGCTGGGAAGTGGAGCTCACCATTACTTGCTACAACGTACTGCCCTCCTAGCTCGTCCGGCTAACGATGCTTGCTAGATGCTATTCACCTGGTCTACGAAGAACCTCTGCATCGTCTTTCCCCAATGGCGCATTACCAGCACTTGGTCCCTTCTGGGTTCACTTATTGTCATCGTCCTTTTGACAGCCGGCTATGAGGGAATCCGACAGCTTACAAGGCGGTTTGAAGCAGCTCACGCTAGGAGGCTGAGTGCATATTCTACGGTTGCTGTGGGAGGTACGTACATCTCAATTTCTATTATGTTTCCTGTATAATGCATGGCGGGGATATTGGAGTCATGGTTTCTTCCTCATCTTCGAGCGCTGGTTATTGGTTTGCCCCAACCTTTGCTGGGATGAAGCACCTGACACCGTGAAGGCAGCGAGGTCCACGACGATTCTGCCACGGCCAATGTCCCTTCTAGCCAGACGCTGCCTGCCCCGAACACCGGCTCACCCCTAGTTGTAGGCAGGGATAGCCGGAGGACCGTCGAGCAAAGAGGCAAGATCACCATGGCAGCATTGTATGCTGTGCAGGTATTCTATAGCTTTTTCATCATGTAAGTCTTCTAATCATCCTCCTATCCACTCCCTCTTCGACTTGGACGAGTTCTAACTGTTCAGGCTGCTCTTCATGACGTATAATGGATTCGTCATGCTCGCAGTTGCCGTTGGTGCCTTTGTGGGATATTTGGCGTTTGGAGATAATACCTCTGCCAGCAAAACGGTTGCTTGTCATTAATGGACTGTAAGCACGAAGGCTTGCCTGAAGTTTTGGCGGGAACCGGGCATTTTCTTAGCAGTAGCCTCGTTGGGTAGCTGTGGTCGTCTTGTCGTTTGGAAACAGCATCAGTTGCATACTCGTCTAATGAACATTCATGCGTTCACTTTCAAGCAGCGGAGACTGCAATTAGGGGACTTCAACATCGCTGTCATCTCCAAACCCGAAGCTAAACCCGCCTCCTTCGGCGGCCTCACCTCCGTCTTGCTCAGGATTTCCGTGCACAATTTCGTCCCACTTCCGTTTCTTCCCCTCGTTCTTCTTCTGCAGCTCTGCCTGCGCCTGTTCCAATAGTTCAGGATGCAACTTCTGCATCTGCGCCACAAACCGTTCGTAGGGATTGTTTACGTCCTTCCTGAAACCTGAAATCTGGTCTGCCTTGTTAGACAAGAAGTCCAGCGCAGCGCTCAGATGGGCACGGGGTATGAAGTTCTGAGTAATGGCAATAGCTGGCTCAATGTTGACGACCAAGTGCCACCAGCCCGAAGGAACGTGGAGAATCTCGCCCTCGTGGCAAATCCCCTCGATGCAGCCTGGGCTACGTCGTGCCTCGGCGTGAAAACCGAAAAGCCACTCGGCAATGCTAAGAGGGGAAGTCACTTCGCTCTGGTCGTCTGACACATAGACGCCCGGAGGCGGCGGGAGCTTCGAAGACGATGGGAACATGATCCAGTATTTTGAGCCACGGACAACCGCATTCCAGGCGCTGGTAGCGTTCGGGTCCTTGTGGAAGGTACTTCCAGACCGCTCGGGTCCAATGATCAGCCACTGCCTGTCAGGGCGATCGTTTCCCAGCACGGAGAAGAAGTCCTCTCCAAAGCAACTGGGAGGCCAGTAAGTGGCGTCAGGCTCCTGGTCCGGCTGACCGACTTTGAGGCCCATTTTTGATACAAAGGCCCGGTCGAACAGATAGAGGGGACTCTCATCGGAGTTGTTGTGCATGTAATCAACATAAGTATGGAAAGGCCAGTCCACTGCCTCTGCGCGGAAAACAACCTCGCCGTAGTGATCCAAAAGCATGTTTACGGACCAGTTCTTGTAGGCTGGCCATTGTTTCACAGGCTCAGTCAAGATGAAGGGCGTGTCGCTCCATTTTTCATTGAACTCCTCAAAAGAGAGATCGGGGAGACGAGCAATTTGGTTGCGGGCAGGGATATTCTTAATATAAGGATCTAAAGAAATATGGGCGCAGTGGAAGGGTCGGTGCAGGACATCCGAGAATAGACTCGAGCAGTCTAGGATGCACTCTTCCGACGGAGGGATGTTAAGATAAGTTGAGCGCCATGTTCCTTTCCATGAGAACGATGCGGGAGGAGACCTGACTAAAGCGTTAGTGCAATGCTCCAGGCCGTCTAGCTATAATTTTACAAACGCGATGAGACAGTAGACTGCCACGTCCCAGACTTCAACAAGAATGAGCAGTCCCTGGCAAGCAGATGTAGACAATAGCAATAATGTAAGAACAAAGATCTAAATCTCACCCGGTGAAAAGAGCTTTCCAGAGATCTTCGGCTCTGGTGAAAGCATAGAATGCCTTGCATGTCTGTCCTATACTTAACAGACTGGGACCATCGAGGTATTCGAGCAACATTAATATCGACTCATCCGGTAGGATGTTGAATGTCCCAATTGCATGGCGCAGGTTCTCTGCGGCGAGCAAAGCATTGCCACTAGGCTTCACGCCCAGAGGATGGCCAGGAATCTCTTCATGGCCAGACAGATCCTCAACATTGGGATCGGAATGAGAGGAGTAGCTATGAGCAGCTACTGCACCGCCGAGAGGACGGGCACTGTCCAAGGAATTGATATCCGGCATTTTCATGATTAAAATCTGAAGAAAAAGAAAGGAACGGGCATTGAATTGTAGGAACTTTCCCAATTGGGTGGGGAACGACTAGACCGGTCACAGACCGGGCGGCGGTGGTGGTACAGACTAGTAATAAACAGCCCACACAACCAACGGCCAGGGCTGTCAGGCAGGGAAGATACGGGGGGTCTTATGCCCAACCCACCCATAAACAACCCTCCTGTGGACTTTCTAAGCGGCAATACTATGGTCCTACGTAGTCAAAGACTTGCCTCCTGGGCAACGAAAATATTACCAAAAATTTCCCTCCGTAGTCCAGCCAGCGAATAAGGAAATAATGACAAAATTCCCACAAGGCAAGTACGTGGGTAGGTTTCCCGATAAAGTAGGCGGTGCGTATCGGCTAGGCTAAATTGGCGCTAAAAATCAAAAATTTCACCGCGACAAATGGAAAAATGGCAGACACAGGGAAAGAAAAGGGAAGAAGAGGAAAAAAAAAAAAGTTCGCAGTGCTCGTCCCGCCGCTTCTGCTCCCCCCATTTTCCCACACCACCTTCGGTCATCCAACTTGAACTTCTTTTCTCTTCCCACCCCTACGACTTTTGAAGTCTTTGTGATATCTCTCATCCCCCGAGAGTTGTGCTACCAGGTTCGTTGCTCTCTCCCCAAAGTTTCTCTGCGCATTGCGCCCTCCCCCACCATCCTCGCCTATCGCTAACAAGCCTTTTCCAGTTTTAATCCCAAAACCCCACCGTCTTCTTCGATCACAGCATCTCGCCTGTGATCTTCTTACAACAACACCGCAATCATGGCTTCTAACGACAAGGGTTTGGAGGAGATCCCCGAGGGTATGTGTTCCTAAATCGTTTGCTTCATTTTTTCCACGGCGAATTTGTGGTCTATGTCTCTACATACTTTGCTGGAGAATGGGGCTCGCTCTCAAGCCAGCCGAAGGAAGAGATAATCGCCACAACCCATCATCGAAATATCCTTCGAAGACATAAGCTGACCAGAAATTTCACGTCAATAGGACAGATCGAGACCAACTACGATGAGGTCACCGACTCCTTCGACTCCATGGACCTGAAGCCCGAGCTGCTTCGCGGTATGTGATACAAATTTTATCTTCGCCCTGGTGGGGTCTGTGCCAACTTGTTCTGACGACAAACAGGTGTCTACGCCTACGGTTTCGAGCGTCCCTCCGCTATCCAGCAGCGTGCCATCAAGCCCATCATTGCCGGTAGGTTTTCCCCGCATGGTCGCCCATATTTCATGATACTAACTAGGCATTCCAGGCCACGATGTCATTGCCCAGGCTCAGTCTGGTACCGGAAAGACTGCCACTTTCTCCATCTCCGCTCTCCAGAAGATCGACCAGGAGCTCAAGGCTTGCCAGGCTCTGATTGTCGCTCCCACCCGTGAGTTGGCTCAGCAGATCCAGAAGGTCGTTGTCGCCATCGGTGACTTCATGAACATTGAGTGCCACGCCTGCATTGGTGGTACCAACGTCCGTGACGACATGAACGCCCTTCGCGCCGGCCCCCAGGTCGTTGTCGGTACCCCCGGTCGTATCCACGATATGATTCAGCGCCATGTCCTCAAGACCGACCAGATGAAGCTCTTCATCCTCGACGAGGCTGATGAGATGCTTTCTGTAAGTCCATTTCAGATCGACCCCGAGAAGATGTACCCTGGCTAACAACATAATCAGCGTGGTTTCACCGAGCAAATCTACGACATCTTCCAGCTCCTCCCCCAGTCTACCCAGGTCACCCTGCTGTCCGCTACCATGCCCCAGGATGTCCTTGAGGTCACCACCAAGTTCATGCGTGACCCCATCCGTATCCTGGTCAAGAAGCAGGAGCTTACCCTCGAGGGTATCAAGCAGTTCTACATTGCTGTCGAGAAGGAGGAGTGGAAGCTCGACACCCTCTCCGATCTCTACGAGACCGTCACCATCACCCAGGCCGTCATCTTCTGTAACACCCGCCGCAAGGTCGACTGGCTCACCGACAAGCTCACTGCCCGTGACTTCACCGTCTCTGCCATGCACGGTGACATGGAGCAGGGCCAGCGTGATGTTATCATGAAGGAGTTCCGTTCCGGATCTTCCCGTGTCCTGATCGCCACTGACCTCCTGGCCCGTGGTATCGATGTCCAGCAGGTCTCCCTGGTCATCAACTACGACCTTCCCGCCAACCGTGAGAACTACATCCACCGTATCGGTCGTGGTGGTCGTTTCGGTCGTAAGGGTGTTGCCATCAACTTCGTCACCGCTGACGATGTCCGCATGATGCGTGAGATTGAGCAGTTCTACAGCACCCAGATCGAGGAGATGCCCATGAACGTTGCTGGTAAGCTAGCCTTGGCCCAGACTTCAATCATCGTATTGTTTATACTGACTTTTGATTCTAGACCTCATCTAAACTCCCTAATACCATCACCTAACGTCCCTCGATGCGGATTACGAATGCAGTTGCCAATAACGCTCCAAGGGTGAGCTGCGGTGGGAAAGACGTTTTGACATCGTTGCGCTTCTCTTGGTAAAGGAGAATCCTTCAAAAAGTGGCTTTCTGTGTCTCCAGCATTTTCTCTTTTAGCAGTGGCGAGCGGGAACCGTCTTAGTCTGCGTGTTTCTGTCTTGTTCTGTTCATGGTTTCCTTTGTCTGTTATTGCTTATGGAGATGCGACACGCTTGTGCGATTTTATTGCTGTAATTCATGGTTCTCTTCCGGAAACGCTTTTTCACACCTTTTTCCTTTGCTCTGTACCTAGCTCGCTCTCTGGTTGGTTAAGGATGCTGCGTTCATACTTGACCAAGGGGTCGGGCCAAAAATGTGATTAGTTCAATCAGGCTTTCTTTTTCCTCGAGGCACTTTGGGTGGACGAAGATACGATTATGGCTCGGACTGGTTGTATACCTGTGTTCACTAGTATAGACAAGAGAGGTACATACCATTCCATCAGTTTGTTTTGAATAGTCAATCTTCAACCCTTGGTTTTGTGGAAGGCGTTCCAACTTGTAGGGACACTACTCCGTACAGACACAGCCTAAGCATACTATATGTATACCACCCTTCCATCCTCCATCCTCCACATCCTCCACAACACATCCCATCTCAACATCCACTCTATCCCCCACGAAACTCAATCCCAACCAAATCAAGAACCCTCCAAAAAACCAAATGAACAACCCACGCCGACAACCAAACCCCAACATCCCCCACCCATCCACCTTCCTCTGGGCCCACGAGCTCCGACGCGAAAACGTCCAACTCGTGAACCAACTCAACAGTCTCAGAGCTGACCTCGCTGTTGCCAGAGAAACCATAGCGAATCTGAATCATAAGCACGAAAGTCTAGAATTGCAAACACGCGAGGGAAACGCTAAGCTAGAGAATATCCTCAAGGATCTTGAAACTCGATTCGACACTAATTTACGAACTGGTATTGAGCGGGTTGAGGAACTTGAGAATGAGAATCGTCGACTATGGGGTATGGTTGATGGGTTGGAGAGAAGTGCTCGTGAACAAGAGAGAATGGAGGAGGGTATTCGCGTGAGGGTGCTGGATGAAGTGAGAGATATGTTGATGGAACGGGGAGGGAGTGGAGCGAGAGGGGATGTTGTCAAGGCTTGTTCTGCTGGGTCTGATGTTCTTGTGCCGGATTCGATGCCTATGGGTTCGGTTCCTGGTGTTGGTGGGAGGAGTGGGTTGTCGTCGACGCTTTCTGATACTACGTGGGGGACGCCTTCTTTGGTGGGTGAGGAGAAGACTGAGGAATCTGGGACGGGTTTGGAGGGTGTTTTGAAGCAGGGTGGGAGGTCGCTTGGTGATTACTTGGTTGCTGCTGAGGGGATGAGATGTGGGTTGCAGCCACAGAGGGATGAAGGTGAGGTTGTCAGGGCGGTTGTGAGAGGTCTTGATGACTCTGGTATCCGGGCTTTGATCGAGGAAGAGATGAACAACGCTGGGTGGTCTTGGAGTGCATTGAGGGCCGTCATGTTGAAGGTTATTCAAGACAGGGAACCGCCTGTACAGGAGCCAGTCAAGGAAAGCGAAACGCCCAATGGAAATGACAAACTCGAGTCGACAAGTGCTCCGCAAGTCCAGCGCAAAAGGCCGAGAACGAGAAGGTCCATACCCATTGTACCGGCTGACGAAGAGGATGAACGCATTGTTATGGAAATGTATCGCCGCTGAGAGACCGACTTACTTGTTAATTCCAGATAGTCTATATTGGAAGAGAACCAGGGTATGTATATACAGTGTCTATCTGATACATATATCTTGTTCAAGACAGCCATCTAGGTCTCACTGTACCGGTATCTACCCTCACGGTCCTTGACCTCGACCTCAATGCGACCCTCCTCGAGCTCCTTGCCGTCATACTCAATGGACGCCTTCATGACATCGCCAGACTTCACCTGACCCACGCCCTTAGGAGTACCAGTCAGGACAAGGTCGCCCTTCTCCAGAGTCATGACACGGGAGATCTCCGCCAGAAGTCTGGGGATGCGGTAAAGCATCAGACCAGTGGAGTCGGCCTGGCGCATTTGCGATCCAACGCTCAAGCGGAGGAAAGCATTGTGAGGGTCGGGAAGACGCGACTTAGCGATCTCCTGAGAGACAGGCAGGAAGGTGTCGAAGCCCTTGGCGATGGTCCACGGGAGGCCCTTCTTCTTTGCTTCTTCTTGGACGTTGCGGGCGGTCATATCAATACCGAGGAGGTAGCCTATACTCGCCAAGATTTTACACACAGTTAGTCCGTTGATACTCCTTATCATCCCCAAAGTGGGTAAATGCATGGGAACCATGACTGACTGTGAATCGCATCCAAAGCACCCTTCTCATCATTCGGGTCCAGATCCCGAACGGTCTTGCCCATCACCAGCGCCAATTCGACCTCATAGTGCAGGTTGGTTCCCTGAGGGCGCAGCACAGGACCCTCGCCGGGGCAGAGAATAGCGGAAGCGGGCTTCAAGAAGAAAAAGGGCTGCTTGGGCTTGGTGTTGTTCAGCTCTGTGATGTGGTCGCTGCGGGTGACAGACTGCGTTAGCGGGACCTCGTCATGCGGAGATGTGGTAGGAAAGACATACGCATAGTTTCTGCCGATGCAGATTACCTTTCTGCAGTTGGCCCTGATCGCGGAGGCCATGATGAAGTGTTCAATTCTTGAGGATGGAGGGGAAAGAAGAATAGTTGAGGGGGTGGGAATGGAATGTAGAGGCAATGAGGCCTGGCGGATAATAATATAATCGGCCAGTCGGAGCTCGGCCGATGCGACGCACGGAAAGGTGCTCCGCGCGCTGCGTGCGGAGAGGCTCGGATTCTCCGAGATTCGGAGGGTCGAGCCGGATGATTGGGGATGATAAGAGGGTTGTGTGGGGAAGTAAGTGGGATTGCGATAATGGTAGTTACTCTATGGTCTAATGGGATTTTAGAAATATGTGTAGATAGTTATTTGTCTGGAATTGTGAATTGAGATCGTGATGAGCTGAGAATGTTTTCTTATTCTCGTTGTTCCTTACGTCACCCGCTCAGTTCCTTGAAAGGGTGTTCTATCACTGCATGTCAACTACATTCTTTACACTGCGTCTGTACATATTCATCTGAAGCGAATCTGAAGAGCCGGGAGTCTTGTCAACTTCATCTATCGTATTTGTTGCAATATTCCGCCAAGTTCCCCAGTCATCAGAACCAAAATCGCCATGCAAGTAGCTGAGATCCTCTCCGATCTGACATCCCTACGCGTCTGTGTATGTCCTCCCCAGCCTCCTTGTATAAGATGGATCAATATACGTACTCATCTGCAGTACAATATCCGGACTACCTCTCGTCTGATATCTGATAACTGATATCAATCACAGGATCACCATGACGCCCTCGCTCTCGTTACTGTTAATGAGCGAATACCCCAGACCACAGACCAACATAACCTCAAAACAACAAACGCGACCCCTTCGGTCTCTGGAGTAAATTCAGGCAGCTACGAAAACGAGGATCTCCGTCGCGCAAAAGAACTTGTCGACTTGCACTATGAGTTCAAAGCCCGTCATGCGCTAGGCACGGTTGATGAGGAGCTCTCGCGTGCAAGGGAAGAAGTAGCCCGAGTGCTAAGCGAACTTAGCTAGTTAGGGAGAAGTACTAGTACCTTGGTTCTAGGCTGTTCCTAAATTTTGTTTTCCTCTTATGCATATGGGTGTTTTATTCAGGCTGGCGTTATCGGTGCTGGGCTGTATGATGTTAATACAAGGGAATCTAAATAGGCACGATTGACTTTCCGAAGGTGCTATGACTTTCAGTATGCTACTCCTGGTAGGAAACCTTATTGGTTTGACATTGGGTAGGTCCCCTACTTATGTGGATTGCCACCTCCGTCTGCAGTGTCGGGGGGGGCTTAGTTTCTAGCCTGCAGAAGATTCACTTAAAGATGGCTACTGTGCTTGCTTCTATGAAATCGAGTATTGAGGATCTCACGTCCTTCTTTATTCTGTATACCATTCTCAAACTATCGAGACTGTTGGTATTCCCGCACAATCTCTTCGCCAGGTGTTGAAAATCCCGGCCGGGGTTCAGCAGGATATTGTCTAATGGGCTGGTATTCACGCCTGACAGATAGTCCAGAAACCATCCAGATCTCCAAAATGCAACACCCTTCAGGCAGTTCGTTAGCAGGCTAGTTGACGCAGTTTAACCAAGGACCACATACATTCGGAAGGCCCGGACCAAACGGCCCAGTAAAGTCTTTCGCAGTAGCCTCCTAAGCATCCTGGTTGTCACGCTTGACGGATGACTCGGCACCAGTCAGATCCCTGCCAGAGCCTTTCCCTGATTCATAGTTAGCAAGCGCTAATTAATCATACTTGGCAAGGGGTCTTATACTAGAGAACTTGTTACATCCTTCTCACGGATCTATTATCAGCAAGTTTATTATTATCGTATCGAGGGATCTCATACACCTATAATGGGAACTGCAGCTGGATTATTGTCACGCTTGACAGATGACTCGGTACCAGTCAGATCCCTCCGGAGACCCTGTCACTGATTTATAATTAGCAAGCTAGATATCATACTTGGCAATGGGTCTCATACAAGACCACTTAGTGTACTCTTTTCACGGATCTATTATCAGCAATCTAATTATTATCGTATCGAGGGATCTCATACACCTAGAAGGCCATCTTTAGGCGAGACATTTTCTGCAGTAGCCTCCTGGGTATCCTGCTTGTCACGCTTGGAGCTCTATCGAATCTGGGGTTAGTCAAAGAGCTAAACCAATATTCAGAGCAGCAGGTGTATAGCTTATCTGAGAATTGTTTGTAGATTCTAGTAGTACTCACAGTAGGCAGGGCCAGGGTCGCAGAGACCAGTAACAGTGTAGTGAAGATATACTTCATCTTGGATGATAGTAATAGAAAGAAGCTGGATATCAGTATAGACTAAGACTCAAAGAACAAGAAGAATAAGTTGGCTGTGCCGACTAAGTCCTTTTGTATCTGTTAGTTATACTGAATATGAGATGATATCCTGCAGGGTATAGCGGTTTTTGGTCAGCTTTTATACACGAGCGCGCCAAACCGCAAGGGACCCATAACTTCGGCTTTCTAATACCTATTCTCTCAGCGATGTGTACCTGTCTTCTTGTCGTTGACAGTATCTAGTATTACTGTTAATTCTTATTCTTCGGGATATATACGTCGGACCTGTCAAATTCAGTGCCTTGCATTCTGGAGGAATGTGGTAATGTGAGCGATGATCAACAACAGTGAGGCTGGGAATGTCGTCTTCAATGGTAACACAGCATAAATCTGTATCTGTGCTCAGCCTGGACGCACCATAAGTGGATATGCTATGCAGATCATGAGTTTCGGGCACATTTGCGACCTGCCTTCATTTGGCGGGTCTGTTCCAGAATAGTATAATGTGCAGTGTGGCAGCTGAGCGGGGAAATTCCCCCTCTGAAGAGGGAATTCCATCCGCTAGGTAGGAAACCCCTAGTTGGAGTAGCAAAAGTCTAGTGAGTAAGAAGCCTTCTCGATGGATTATGCTGACGCATTGAATGCAACTTCGCAATAGCGCAGTAGATTAATGGTTCATTTTGCTCGGAGTACACATTCGACACAGCCAGATACTAGTATTTGCCAACCTACCCTTCCGTCGTAAAGGTGACAAGAATCTAATCGAAAACTGTTTACAGTATTTGTGTAAATCAAATTCTCCATGCACATACAAGTGCTCAGTAAGGGGGAAGGGGCCGGGGGAGCAAGGGTTGTTGGGTTGAGGCTTGAATATTGACAGCTAAAAAGAAAACAGCAGAATGCTCATTTAGTACAGACTACCATATCTGTATTCGACTATATCATCTAATATGACTGGAGTCTCTTTTTGACATAGTACTATGCGGTGCGTGAAATGGTCGGAGAAAGTATGTCAGACAGTTTCGAAAGCAGCATCCTCTGCGTTCTTCATACTACTTTCGAGCAGTATTTTTGATTAATTAATGAATTATTTATTCTTTTTTTATTTACTCCTCTTATCTTGAGAATCGCTGGATATCGGTACTAACCAGACGCCTTCGACATGGTATCTTCCAAATCCAATCGCTTGGTAACTGGATGGTCTGTTTCACAGCATCTTATCAATGTATCTACGTTTCTGTTAACTCTACCCATTTACTGATGATGATCCTCAGGTGCACCTGACCATTAATTATCAGATATAGGAATTATCATTGCATTATCACATACACTCTCTTTTCAGACAATGTTCACCATCTATTTCGCTATACTTTGTGTATAGATAGTTGATATCGTCCACAATAGAGCTTTATACGCAGATGTATTCAGGCCGTAAGCCCGAGGGATTGATCAATACAAAAACACATGCTCTAAAGGAATGTCTAGCCTATATCAAGCTTCCTGGTTTGTACCGCCTCGTGAAATCATTTTTGCGCATTAGACAAGAGATTGTCAGAGCTAAAAGTCTGCTTAAAACAATCTGAATACAGAAAATCCCAAGCCCTTGACCCTGATCTCACATGAATGGACAAATTATTATACTCGTCTGAAGGGTCACCTACACCTAGAAAGTTCCTTTTTATAGGGAAGCCGTCTTCAGACACTTGCCTTTTTAGCCCTTTTTGTCCTAGTCAGCGCTGTCAAACCCAGGCGAAGATGAAAGAAGCGAAGTCAGTTCTACAGTAGCCTCCTAGGCATTCTGGCTGTCACGCTTGGCAGATGGCTCAGTGCCAACCGGGTCTCTTTTGAAGGCAACACCCTTACCACGCATCTCTGTCAGTAGGCTGGTCATCACTTTGAATTCTAAAAAATCACATACATTTGGAAGACCCGGACCAAAAGACCCATCAAAGTCCTTTGCAGTAGCTCCTTGGGCATCCTGAATGTCACGCTTGGCAGATGATTCAGTGCCTGTCAGCTCTCTTCTAAAGGCAACACCCTTTCACGCATCTCTGTCAGCAGGCTGGTTATGAATCTGGATTAAAGAATTACATACATTTGGAAGGCCCGGACCAAAAGGACCTTCAAAGTCTTTCGCAGTAGCCTCTTGGGCATCTTGGTTGTTACGCCTAGTGTTTGACTTGCTAGGCCGACCCTTTCACAGAGTTAGCGTCAGCAAGCCAATCAATCACAATTGACAAGGGGTCTCATACACCTATAAGACTTCCTAGCCCACCAATGCTCGGCTACGAATATATTGTCAGCAAGCTAATCATCATACTTGGTGAATTATCTCATACACCTAGAATGCTATTTAGAGATGGGCCTCTCTCTGCAGTAGTCTCCTGGACATCCTGACTAGCCCGCTTGGATGGCCCATCTGAGAATGGATCGGAGCCATCAGCGTCTTGCCGGGCAACCTGGTAGCCACGCTTGTATGACCCATCTGCGGTTGGATCGAAGTCATCATCGTCCTGCCGAGCAACCTGGTTGCCACGCTTGGTCGACGACTGGATACTATTTAGATCTCCACGTCGACCGAGGCCCTTTCACAGATCTATGATTAGCTGACCGGTCACCATTCTTAGAAAAAGGATGACATACAAGGGTATCACCAAGCAGACCAAGAGGACTGCCACCTATACCTTCCTGTTGAGTCGCGGCAGCGGTGGACTCCTGACTCGAAAAATCCTGCCAAGCACCGCATTAGCGAGTTGTCTGAACCCATACATGAGTAACAGACAGAAAGCCACTACGATATAGAATATGTTCATATTCTGTTACTTACAGCAGGCAGGGCCAGGGTCGCCGAGACCAGTAACAGAGTAGTGAAGATATACTTCATCTTGAATGATAGTAGTGGAAAGAAGTTAGATACCAGTAGAAACTGAGACAAGTCGACTGTGTTGACTACTAAGTCAGTTTGTATCTGTTGTACTGAATGAGAGAAGATATCCTGGTATAGGGGCTCCAGGCCGGCTTTTATACACGAGCTTGCCACATCTCAAGACCCATGACTTCAGTTACCTAATCCCTAATCTCTCACCGATGTGTCTGTATCTCCTCATCGCTCAAAGTATCTGGTGCTTCTGTTGATCATCATGCAGTCTTGAACGAGGAACTCAGGTGATCTGTACTTGTCACTCGGTGTAGGTACTAAGGATTAGTCCGTGCCAGATGTCTGAAGAGGGGAATGGAGCGATTATCGACAATGGTAAGGCTATGCATGTCGTCACAGTGGCACAGAATCAAACTATAGCTACGCCCAGTTCTTTTGACTGTCCCTTTCCAGGATGATATGCCGAACAAATGGGATGAACACCCCTCTTGAGGGGATGCAGCCAGTTAGAAGGAAGTCGGCTTGTTGGAGCAGCGAGCAACTAGTGAATGAGAAGTCTTCCTTGTCCATTCATTGGGCTTCCCTGAATGCAGCATTGCAATAGTGTAGTAATGTTTACTTCTTTTCGGATAACCTATTCGCCGCGGCTCGACACTATTACCCACCTACCCTTTCATCCGAAAAGCAATAAGAATTCCTCCAAGACCCGGACAATAAACCTGTTTTGAAGACTTGTCTACGGTATTCGCGCAGAAGAAGCTCTACACAATAAATTTGTTTGCTCACTCAAGCAGACCGAAAAGGTATCTTCTTAGCTTACAGGTGTGGCAAGATAGGGTATGATAATGTGTGGATTGCACTGCATTATGTAGCGTGTACTCCAAGCATCTTGAAAGTCCCTTGATACTACTACCCAAGTCTTCTTCGATTTATCCTCATTAGAGTCTAAGGGCTCGGTAAGGGAAGAGGCGCGGGCGCCAGGTGATGAGATTTGACTTCAAATTTAACAGCCTAAGGTAAAGAGGAGGGGGGGAAGGGGAAAGAGGGCTAGATTATACTAGAATATATTATCTATATACTACTAAGTTATCAATATTTCTATTTACTCCGTCCATTTATTGGTTACTATTGTCTATCACACCAGCTTACATTTGACCATTGTAAATTAGAATCAGGAATTATCATTGCAGTCTCACATAAATACACCATCTTCCCAGACAATTCTCCCCACCTCTTTGGCTGTGCATTTCCATAGTACCTGTAACATAAATATGTTCATGCTCTTCTTCTACTGAGCTGCTACTAGAAACTTACTGGTCAATTAAAGCGGACAAATGGGCCCACGTATGCTTGCAAGCAACAGTGCTCCTTAACACTATCTGGCCCTCATCCTGACAATAATCAGCAAATGTTAGGTTGGCCTAGTTCTCCCAGTCGTCTAATCAGAAGATCCCGTGGAATGTGCTTTCTTTTAAGATAGGTACTACTTTCTCCGCCACTTGCTGAATTGATCTTTGCGGTTCATTTGATCCCTTCAGTGGTTTGCTCAGCTAAAGGGTAGACCGTTCTCCCGATGTCTACTTCTGAGCTTTTGGACTGGCATAATTTCAACTTGGAAGAATACGATCACGATATGGGAGCAAAACCTATCGTCATAAAACGTAACTATCAAGTTACATTTAGCATACTATGTAATGCATGAAAGCAGGTATTGTTTGTTGTGGCAGTTTCAGAACACCAAGCTCTGCATTCTTTCTTTATCATTTGGCTTTGTACGGCCTCTTCCATACAAGGCTGCTACTCTGTGTCTAGATAGTGGATATTCCATAACAGGAGCTTTTTACGCCGATATATTCAGACTTTAAGCCCGCGAGTTGTTCAATTCGAAAGCGCAAGATGCAAAGGAGTGACTAGCTTAACCCAAGCTTCCTACTTTTGTCTCGCCTCTTGTAAGCATATTTTGCACATCAGATCAGAAGTTGTCAGAGCTAGAAGTCTGCTTAAAATCAATAGAATAACGGAAGTTCCAAGCCCTTTCTCTCTTGCCTTCACCATCCATGGGTCTTTCAGGTTGTTTATATGCCGCAAGCAATCTTCCCCGGGAATTCAAAGGCCCTTTTTGAATCACAGTATAACCTGAAAAATAACCTGGCTCTCATGCTTTACGGATAGCTCGGTAGCAGCAACATCACCAAGTATTTCCACTGATCTGTCATGAGCAGGCTAATTATCCACTTGATTGGAGGATCACCTACACCTCGAAGTTTCCTTTGGTAGGGAGACCGTCCTTAGCCTGGTCATCGCTCTTAAACCCAGCCCAAAGTAACAGAATAAAAGCGACCTTCTACAGTAGGCCCATCCTCGCTGTCACGCTTGACAGTTGGCTCGGTACCAGTCATCCCTTATAACATTTACTTTTTGCGCGGAGTTTCTATGCGGCTTCGCGAGATACAGACTCTTGCTCCCGTAGGGAAGTAAATGAGCCCCGTCATAACGACAGTCCTCAGGGCCAATCTGATCGAAAATTATTGACTGCCAATATCTGTGCATAACGACAGTATAGTATCCACAGTGTGCGTGATGCATACGCTTTGTCTAACATTTCCCCTCAAATGATCCCTGATGCTTCTGTACAAACCCCCCGTTCTGTGTATAGTCCTTTATTTTTCTTTGTCTTATTATATGGTGGCAACTTCACACATGCAGAACGCCGAATGGGTTCCTTCAATGGCCTGATTACACCACATAGGCTATAGATTGGAGTAATGCATTAGCCTCGGTTTCTACCGAGTTATCCAGATCCCGTAGGATGATATGGATTCCCCGATGTGTGGGGGATCAAGCATGGCCAGTTGACTGCCCCCGAAAACAAGGAGTTCAAAGAAAAGGAGATGTTCATGGACTGTCGCCGCTTGAGGGGCGACTCTATCAGGCGGTCTTTTTCGCTTCTATTGTCATCCTACAGCCCCAAGCCTCGAAAGTCGGGGGCCTTCGCAATGAGCAAGTCCAAGTATCAAGAAGTACCTGAAGACGATGAATCGGGGGGTCTATTAGGACACACTGAGACTCCTCATGCGAGCCCTGACCGACTCCCGGTCTCAAGATATCTTCTTTATGTGGCACTGGGGATCAGCCTCTTCTTCAATATAATCAATCTGTTCTATATTATCCAAGATTCTGGAGATATCTGCATTCCAAACCCTATATATTGTAAGTTAAATTGGACAAAGCTTTTCTCGGAATAATACTGTTAAACTCAATGACTAACATCACTGGTTACCAAATTGATCTTGCGAAATAACACCAGCGAACCAGATCATAGATTATAAGACCGTGACCTTTACCAGCGGCTTTGGATCTGCTAAAACCCCATATATGGGCCCTCCTAATGACGCGTATGATAAAGCATGGGAGGACTTATCCAACTGTATGACACCTTGACCTCTACCTCCAGACTTCCATATTGAAAGGCTCTTACCAACGTTGTGTTTGTTCCTTCGAAATAGATGGCATCATCCGAATCCCGCAGTCAGATGCGGCCAAGCTAATCAATCATACAATTCCAATTGCCTCTCAGCCAGGTATGTATGTAATTGGACTCGATGTTTTCCATCAATTTCATTGCCTGGTATGTGTTCTTTTCTCCTCTGGAACGGGCTTACGGATATATTAACCCCTTCCTATCAGCACCACCTCCACAAAAAGGCCTGGGGTCACGACATGGGCCTCAACATGAGTGATCCTGAAGCGGTGGAGGGCTTTTGGCGCCATCTCGACCATTGTTCTGATTCTATCCGCCAGAGTCTGATGTGCAGCTCGGATGTATCAACCATCCACTGGCTGTGGAATGAGAGTATACCGCGGTGGCAGGCAGATGGCAGGATTGTACATACCTGCCGCGACTTTGAAGCTATACGGGACTGGGCCTTTGCGAGAAAAGCTGGGGTGGTAGACTTTGACACATGGGTGCCCGATCCATTGCGTGGGGAGATATAAAAGACAAGTTTTAATTAGATAGGTCGCAGAACCACATATTGTGTATAATCATTAGAAAGACCACTGGCTCCAGTATGAGCCGCTGAGACAAACACTTCAATAGCAATTCAGTCACTTGCCTTAAGAAGAGCTTTTCGCGGTTCTAGATAGATGCCAGATGAATTCAACCGACCCTGCTCCTGTCCCTCCGATGTCTTCTGGTCAACTCCGAGCAAGAAATCGATGGTACCTAGCGCGGTCAGACATATAGAGTACAATGTATATGTATGTACACTTTGTTATGACTACATCTGATTAGTTACTTCAATATTCTTTGGAGCGAAGAGGAAAGGGTCCTGGCTTTGCTGAACATCCATCACCGATTAAGAGACAACCGTACTTGAGATTGAAAGATTCAGTCACATCAGACTTATAATACTATGAGCAAAGGACGTACAAGCTTTCTTGACAGAACATAACTAGCTAGTCTTGGTAGTAGTAGTAGTAGTAGTAGTAGTAGTAGTAGTAGTAGTAGTATCAACATCCCAAAAAGGCAAGATTGAAGCTATCCTCGGTCCGACTGCGACTCCGGCCTTCGGGCATCGACAAACACCCAACCCGCAGTCTCGTGGCTGGCTCAACACCGCAGCTGTTCACACGCCGGTCGCTGCACCTATTGTCGACTTCTCAATAGCTGTTGGTTCTCTCGAACTAGGACTAGAAAGCATGGCGACAAGCGTGGATGCCAAGCTGCTGAAGCAGACCAAATTCCCTCCGGAATTCAGCCGGAAGGTGGACATGACCAAGGTCAACATCGAGGTGATGAAGAAGTGCGTTGCAAACGCCCCAGCTAAGTTTCTTATCGCGAGGTGCTGTTATCACCCGGGTCTGGAACTAACACTTTTGATTATTGCAGATGGATTGCTGGAAAGATCTCCGAGATCCTGGGAAATGAGGATGACGTCGTCATTGAGCTCTGCTTTAACCTTCTGGAAGGGTCGCGGTTTGTATGTACTACCTTTTACCTTTTGCCTTTAATGCTGATTTGCTATGTTTTACTCGGGGTTCAGCCATCCAAGCTAACTGAGTTCACTTTGCATTGTCTTAGCCCGATATCAAGTCCCTGCAGATTCAGCTCACCGGATTCCTCGATAAAGATACTGGCAAATTTTGCAAGGAGCTGTGGTCGCTATGTTTGAGTGCCCAGGAAAACCCCCAGGGTGTGCCCAAGGAGTTGCTGGAGGCGAAGAAACTGGAGCTTATCCAAGAGAAGGTGGGATACCTTACGGAGGTCCGGGTTGCTAGTCTCACGCTGACGCCCTCGTTGTCTAGATCGAAGCGGAAAGAGCCGCCGAGGAAACCCGCAAACAGAAGGAACAGGAGCGCGCGCGAGAGCGAGAACTTGAAGATCTTCGACGCAGAGAACGATCTGAGCGCACAAGGGGAGGAAGAAGAGGCGGTGGTCGCGGTGGTCGAGACTTCGATAGACGTCGGTCGCCTCCGCGACAGCGCAGCCGTGACCGTTTCCGAGGTCCGCCTGGCAGACGAGAGTTCGACTCCTACGTGCCCTCAAGCTCTCGTCGAGGCCGTCGGCCATCCCGTTCGCCCAGTCGCTCTCGTTCTCGCTCCGTGTCTTCCTCGCGCTCACCCCCACTACGCCGGCGCCATCCTGGCAGCGACCGGAACCGACGACGTCGGTCGATTAGCGGCTCTGTCTCCCCGGACCGCGGTGATCGCAGGAGACCCAGGAGACGCAGCCCTGATTACGGTGATCGTGCAAGATCCAATACCCGCAGTGAATCATCACGCTCACGTAGTCCCAGAAGAGACCGACGGAGACGGAGATCCGTTTCTTCCCGCAGTGCATCGCGTTCACCTGTCCACAGAGACCGACGCAGGAGAAGAGGTTCTTCGGCATCAAGGTCCCGTTCGAGGTCGCAAGGGTCGGATGGTAGCGGCACTAGACGCAGAGGATCATCGCCTTACTCTTCACGAGATGATAAGAAAGAATCCACCGCTGATATTGCAAAGGCCCGCAAGTCCCGTGACGACCGTCGCTTGAGTCGCAGCAGAGAGCGCAATGACACCCGCAGACGCCGGTACTCATCCCAGAGTGTCAGCCGCAGCCGCAGCCGCAGTCGAGGCCGTTCCCGCAGCGCCAGCCAGGATTCCCGCAGTCGGAGTCGCAGCCGTAGCCACAGCCGCATGAGGGATAGGAAGCGGCGTCGGTCCATTGAGAGATATGCCCCAGTTGCACGGAGACGGCGCAACACGTCCTCCGTATCCGTCCCCAGTGATAAACGAAAGAGGATGGCTGATGAAGACGAGGATGCCGCCAAACGATCACCACCGCCGGCTGAGAAGCCAAGCTCGAGCGACCACGAGATGAAGGATGCCACTGAGGTGGGTGAATGATTTCTAAGGGTCCTCTTCACACAATATCTATGATTTCCTAAGTTCGTTCATTGCCCACAACTCTCCTCTGCCCCTCTCACTGTAAAGACCTAAACTAACCACCTAATCGCAGGCTGCTGCTCCCCCCAATAACGCAGCTCGTGTACGCATCTCCAGCTCCGAACTACGCGAGAAGCTGCTCCGCGAGAAGATCATCGCGATGCGCCGGACCGCCTCGAGCGACAAGGTAGGTAGCTCTACATCTTCAAGGTAGTCCTCATGTCCTACCGTTCAGGGCACACACAGCCTCACCTACATAAACCACATACCAAAGCCCCACTAAGGAGCGAAGGATTGGAGGATTCCGCAACTCAATATTTAGCGATCTATTCACACGTGGTAATGTCACTATAAACAATAAACAAAAAAAGAGAGTTTGCATCCTATGCCTGTCTCAGCAATATCTCCGTCAATAGTCCAACTATCCCCTGTACCATCATACTTTAATTTATTCTCCTTCAAAGTTCAGACCACGCAATCCCAATTCCGCGGAACGAACAGCAGAGTTTGCTTGGCACATGAAATAGTATCTAGTCTACGTTCTCAAATATTAGTCCGGGGGAACCACTACTAGCGCACTTAATCTAAACAAAGTTTACCCGGCATGCGACCGTTTTCGGGGCAATCTCCACAAGGCTAGGTTGACTATTGATTATTGGGTTGATCGACTATTGAGACTATTGTTTGTCGGGTTATTTAGACCGTTGAGCCGTTGATATAGCAGATGCTCAGCAATTGGGGAGATCTTAATACATGGTTGGTTGTGGTTAACTGGGGAGGGGAGGTGTGAGTATGCCCCTATTCTATGTGCTGAAGGGTCAGGGGGTATGGGATTAGAATCCATAGGGAGTTAGTGAGCTTTAGAGTAGGACATGATATTCTGTATTCAGGAATCAGATAGAAGGAGAGAGTAGTACCATTGAACACGCCGTTCAAGATTTGTATATGCTTCTGTTTTCCCTGGGGTTGACACGTGCATCTCGTAGAAGACACACCCTATGTTGAGTAGTAGTACACAGCCTATTTCTCGCTCCTACATGGGATATGCTTTCAATGGGTATCTAGATCAAGTCAGGAGATAGGTCCCAGATAGCCAACGGAGCTACGGCAGAATTACATTGTAGTTACAGACTCATGAATTAAGATGTCTAATTCACACCAAGGGGCAATGGGTAACTCATCAGTTGACCATGAGTCAAGAAGTTTGCATAACATCTATAACACCACTTCATACAATGAGCCTGTCCAAATTCCACTCTAAAAAAAAAAAAAAAAGCACACATATCCACAGGGTTTCCTAAGCAAACCGATAACCTTCCCCTCGTAATCGTACCCTTTCCATCCCCCCTTAACCTCGAGACGAACAACCCAAACAAAGCAGACTAACTGCCAGCCCCCTATACCCAACTGCCACCATCATCAGCACAGACACCAAACTACTACCCAGCGATGATAATTCATTCAAAGGCTCACAATAAATAATACCTAACTGTTATAACCTATCTTAAGCACTGAACCCACCTACAAAGTACAGACAGAGCACCGCAGATCACTAACACACACTGCAATGCATACTATAAGATCATCTCGATAAGAGCTTAAGCCATACATTACCCACAACAGTACTCCATAATGTCCCACTGTATACTCATCCCATATAATGGATGACGTCCGCTCATCACTCCCCACAATCCTATATCAAATATTATTATCATTATGATAGAAAACAAGCATACAAGTTAATAAAGAATAAATTAATGACCCATTGACACAGACAATTCCACTAAGTGGATTGTGGATAGTAGCTATAGCGCAAGCAAAGCACGAACCTCCCATCCCGTCTCCATTCTCCTCCCACCATGCTAACTAAGTAACCACTTACTTCTCGTACGCATAAGCTCCAACTCATCATCTCTCTTCGTCAGCTTACCCACTGTTGTGCCGCTGTCGTGACGTACATCATATCCCGTCCTCAGCCGCTTGATGATGATGATGTAGTGACAGCTGCGTGGCTGTGTCGTGTTCTCTAATTGTGATCGACTAGGGTTCGGGTTTAGCTCAGACCCTGTCAGCTGAGTGGGATGAGTAGGCTTGGTTCTGGAATCCTTGATGAGTAAAGGCAAACAGACTAACAAACAGGCAGGGATTCGAATTAGAGGGGTATTCGTTCGTTCGTCTGTTAGGTTGGCTCTAATCATGATTGACGGGATCGTCGGGGGCAGGGAAACTGTCTTACAAAGAACGAGGATTGACTGCTGCATTACTGCTTTGGGAGATTAGGGCACATGGGGGCCACACGTGTTGTTAGTCAGATGAAGATGCTAAGAAAGTAAGATCTACGGAGTACTATAGGATGGAGATATGCTGGTTTGGCATACGGGATCGAGATTAAGAGAAAAGAAAAAATAAACATTCAGGACGAGGACGGCTTTCGCACATCCCTCCACATAAGTACTGTACAGGTATTCAAATAACACATCATTGCATCGGCAAAGCGAATGGACTCCATTGGAGGGAAAGGTGGGATAGTATCAAACAATCAAGCCAGAAAATAAAGATTTGTACCTGCTTCGCCACTATAGACATCCTGCTCCCCTCGCCTTGTACAAATTCGAGCAGATATTCAAGACAATCTTCACAATGATTAGAATTAGAAAATTAGGTATATACAGGAGGACTATTCACCATTGATGCCGTTGCTATCGTCGTAACTTGTAGGCTGCTGTTGGAAGCTTACCAGTCGCAAGCCGAAACGCTCACAGTAGCGGTGACGGTGACAGTAACCACCTCGGTCTCGGAGCCGGAGCCAGAGCCGGAGCCGGAACCAGCGACGGGAGCGGTGGTGATCTGAGGAGAGGAACCACCCTCAGTGGCCGAGGTGGCAACGGGGACAGGAGTCACGGTCTCGGTAGCGACAGGGACGACAGTCTGGCCGGTGATGGTGTCGCAGGGAGTGGTGGAGGCTCCAGCGCTGGCGCCCTCGGGGACGCTAGCGGTGGGAACAGCAGGGACGCTAGCAGCGCCGGAGGGGACGACACCACCGCTGGGGGCGGGGGAGCCACCGCTGGGAGCGTTGCCAGAGCCAGACTGAGCAGGAGCGGCAGGGGTCTCGGAGGGGCTGGCACCGCTAGGGGCACCAGGGGCACCAGACTCAGCAGGGGCACTGGGAGCGGAACCGCCCTCGGTCATGGTAGCAACGGGAACGACAGTCTGGCCGGTGAGGGTGTCGCAGGGGGTGGTGGAGGCTCCAGCGCTGGCACCCTCGGGGACGCTGGCGGTGGGAATAGCAGGGACGCTAGCAGCACCGGAGGGAACGACACCGCCGCTGGGGGCAGGGGCACCACCGGATTGGGCGGGAGCAGAGGGAACAACACCACCACTAGGAGCAGGAGCGCCACCGGAGGGAGCACCAGGGGCACCGGACTGAGCAGGGGCGCTGGGGGCAGAGCCACCCTCGGTCATGGTAGCAACGGGAACAACAGTCTGGCCGGTGAGGGTGTCGCAGGGAGTGGTGGAAGCACCAGCGCTGGCGCCCTCGGGGACGCTAGCAGTGGGAACGGCAGGGACGCTAGCACCACCAGAGGGGGCACCAGGGGCACCAGACTGAGCAGGAGACGAGGGAACAACGCCGCCGCTAGGGGCAGGGGCACCGCCGGACTGAGCGGGAACAGAGGGGACAACACCACCGCTAGGAGCAGGGGCACCGGAGGGAGCACCAGGAGCACCAGACTGAGCGGGAGCAGAGGGAACAACACCGCCGGACTGAGCAGGGGCACTGGGGGCAGAGCCGCCCTCAGTCATAGTAGCAACAGGAACGACAGTCTGGCCGGTGATAGTGTCGCAGGGAGTGGTGGAAGCACCAGCGCTGGCGCCCTCGGGGACGCTAGCGGTGGGAACAGCAGGGACGGAGCCGGAGGGGACAGAGGGAGCAGCACCTCCAGAGCCGGAGCCGGAGCCAGAACCGGACCAGGAGCCAGAGCCAGAGCCAGAGCCAGAGCCAGAGCCAGAGCCAGAGCCAGAGCCAGAGCCAGAGCCAGAGCCAGAGCCAGAGCCAGAGCCAGAGCC